GGTAGGCTGAGATAGCTGCACAGCCTGGGCCGTCATCACCCACCCTATGTGACTAAGTTTACACATGTTAAGGATTAATGTGAATTACTCAGGGTTAATTGGTAACAGGAATCAGGGCTGGGTGAATAAAGTGGCCAACATCGTGATTCCAGAGCAAAATTCACAGAAGATTCATCAATTCCATCGAGAAGAGTAGAAGACAAAAATAAAAAATAAAATAAAAAATAAAATAAAATAAAAGAGAAGAGTAGAAGAGAGTGTGTAAACCTTTTGCTCCACAGTAGGGAAAGTAAGCCTTTCCTATGTTTTCCCTCCCTTCCTTTAATTACTCAGCAAGTATGTGCTAAGTGCTTCTTAGCTTGGGCCGTCCAGGATGAGGACGTGCAACCCACAATCCTATGCAGGTGCAGCTGAGAAGGGGTGTCTGGAGGAGAACTCTGCTCTCATGGAGCTCATCTTGGACCGAATGGATAATCAAGGCAGGCGCCGGAAGGAAATACACGCTGGCCCAGACGGAGATATGCTAAGAGTCTGGAATCCAGACTGTTGTGTGTCCAGATATGGGAACTATTTATGTTACAAATGAAACAATGGATTATCTGTTTTTAATCTACATACCAGGTACTGCAGATTCGTATAAACCTCCTTCATGTACAAGTTACAAGATCCTTACTCTCTCTTGCTATAAAACATGGCACATTTGACATCCTTTCAGTGCGACTAAAATGGTATCATCCTTCCATCATTAAACTGCGAGTTCCTTGAGGAAGCCTGTCCCATCCTTCCATTTCTATAGCCAGAGCCTCTGTCTCTCTTCCTGGTGCTTGCCTACGCTTGGATCAGTATTGCCAGAATGCATGATTCCTTGCCTCGTCTTGTGTTTTTGTTTGTTTCTTTCTTTCCAAACACCCGAGTCTTTGGGTGGTTTGGCCTCTGTGGTTGACCAGAACCTCGTGCGGTTTCTATCCTCTTCACAGGGTCCCAACATGAACCAGAGCCACCCTGGAGGGGGAGTACTACAATGCAGGACTATTTACCAAGGGGCTACCTACATCAGAGTAAATCCAGGGATGTCACCGGGCCTGGTCGGTAACCCAGGACCCCGTCACCAAGAGCTGGGCGATTATCAGCCCTTCGGCTGGAAGCAACACAGGTAAACAATCAGCGCTCAACTGAGGAGGAAGAGTCATGTAGGTCAATCTGCCTGGGAAGAGTTGTGACCTTTGGCCTCTGCACATGGGAGGACAGCCAGGTTGAGGGGACTGTGCAGGAGGCAACAGGAGGCTTCACATTCTTGTTTCCCCCACCCGCCACATGCACCTAGCGATGGGCGGCACACGATCTCGATCCATGAGGGGAGCACTACCATTGTGTCTGAGCATGTTCGGCTTCTGTTAGGAGGGCACTGTGGGAGCACAGCACAGCAGACACCGTCTAAGGTTCTGGAGGAAAAAGATAATCGCCTGGTCATGACTATCACATTCCCTCCTTCATGCGAGGTCTCATGAGGAAGAGAGACACATGAACAACATCAAAACATGTCAAAATAGAGTGGAAAACACTAACACACAGGTCACCGGAGGGTGAGGTGGGACGACAGCTAGCAACAGCTGTCAACCCTGCGCTGAACATATTTAAGGGATATTTTGTTAGTCATTTATCCAAACTTTCAAATGGAAGAACCAAGGTCAGGATAACTGTGCAAGTTGTACAAGGGATACTTATACTTGTATGCTTGGATTTGATTTTGAGAATGTCAGGGACTGTGATCTACGTGAAAACCCAGCTCTTGGGATAAAGCAGGAATGCTAGAGTTTTCTGTGTTCTAGGCTCACCTCTGACGATTGGCCAAACTATTATTCTAAGACTGCAGAAATAAGTCCCGTGGTCTGGATCTTACCTCCTCCTCTGTGAAGTAAGACCCCGTGCTAAATTAAAATTACTGGCTGACCTTCTACTTACATTCTTCTCTTCCCATGTCTAGATGTGAAGTCCTTGATGGGCTTGGTCTGCTGAATGCCCATCATACGCCACATCCTGGAATGGACAATCTGCAAACACCTCGCTTTATCTACTTGACAAAAGTCATTATTGCCTTAATGTCATAAATTATGAAACCTGGACTTGGCGACCGTCCATGCATTTACAGCTACCGAATCCTGTTTCTCTAGCCTCAAAACCCACCTCCATTTCCCTAGGATACGTGCCACTTAGAATCTCAGCTACACCGTCCATGGAAATAACATTTTATCACTTATTCCATTGCTGACCTTACAAGGCCTTCAGCTTCTTCAACCTCTTTGTTTTTAGGCTCATGTCTGACCAAAACCAAAAGCTGAGTATCACTGGGGAGAAGGACAGAAGGTTTTCTCACATCAAATCAGTAAGCATGCATCTGTCAGTTCATGTGCAGATAAGGACTGCTTACAAAGAAAGCTTACAAAGAGACCTTTGCTTAAAAAGAAAGCTTCTGCCCAAGTTGGCTCTCGCAGTTAGGGTCAGCGCTGGGCTTAATATGGATTTGGTAGAGGGGTTCACCTGCCAAGCGGCTCTACCTCACTGCGGGACGTTTCTGTGAGGTGTGAAATAATTTCGAAATTATTATAAGCGCCACATGCCCCACCCTATAGAACATCCAGAATTGGAAACTAACAATAACAAATATTAAAGCTTTATTGGCAAAACCTTTCCTTTTTTTCCTCTGCCCCTCAGTTGTTTTCTGCCTTTGTTTGGATTCCATCCTTTCCTTCAGTCCAGTTGAATGTGAATAGATCCTCACATTCAATCTTCTCCATGATCATCAAACAGAAGGCATACAGAAAATATTTACAGATTGCTTCGTGTGTGTGTGTGTGTGTGTGTGGTGCCTAAGGACCTGAGGTAGTTAAAGTTTAGAGAATCCACCCCTCAGATGGACTGAATCTTTTCATCCTCTCACAATTGTTTTATTGAAATCCTAACTCCTGGTGTGATGGTGTTTGGAGGTGGGCCTTTGGGAAGTAAGTAGATCATGAGCATGAGCCCGCATGATGGGAACAGTGCCCTTCTAAGAAGAGAAAGGAGAGATGCTCTCTTCCTCTACTATATAGGGGGTACGATGAGATGGCAGCCATCTATGAACCAGGAGCAAGTCCCCACTAACCTTGAGTCTCTCTCCCTTGATCTCACACTTTCCAGCCATGAAACCATGTGAAATAAATTTAAACCATCCCATTTTGGGTACTCTGTTATGGTAGCCTGAAAGATCTAAGACACCCCCTGTACCTGATGCCTACATCCTAGGGGGCTGTGTTTACTTCTCTGTCTTTATCAAGTGCCAGGGAATAGCGTCATCACACGGCCAATCGACCGTTGTTGCATAGGCACTTGGTAGCGGTCTGCATCTACCTCTCTATCCTCTTCAGCTGTATGGAATGGGGCCATCAAATAGTCAATGGATAATTGTTACATTTACATAAGTGATGAGTAGGACGCCGTAGAATAGGGATATTGAGAAAGCAGAAGTAGGTCAATCTACAAAGTGGATTTTTATTTTATTTTTTTATTATTTATTATTATTATTTTTTCAAAATGGATTTTTAAAGGATGCATATTGTTGTTTATTTATTTGCTTTTAGGGCAGCCCTGGTGGTGCAGCGGTTTGGTGCTGCCTGCAGGCTGGGGTGTGATCCTGGAGACCCGGGATCAAGTCCCACATCAGGCTCCCTGCATGGAGCCTGCTTCTCCCTCTGCCTGTGTCTCTGCCTCTCTCCCTGCCTCTCTCTCCCTCTGCCTCTGAATGAAAAAACAAAACAAAACAAAAAAACAATGTGGTATTTATTTGCTTTTATAAAATACTTGTCATGGATAAAACTTCATGCAGAAGCCCAATATATCAATGCAGATAAAAAATAGAGTTGGTTGAGCTGAGGGAGCTCCAGAGATCCATCTCGAGCCTTCCACTTCTACTAAATGCTAGGCCGTGGGAAAAGAGGTAAAATGTGTAGATCCCAAACACTTGATATGGAACATCAAGAGGGTAGCATGTAAAACAGGTCCCCAGTCATGAATAGAAAAGGCAACCCAACAGCTTGAAAGTCTTAAAAAGAGCATGGCACATGGGACGGCACTGGAAAGAACCCCAGCTAGGTACCGCTAGGGAGCCTGCTGGTCTGCAGGGAAACCCACAGTGAAACTGTGACAAAATAAATGCTGTAACAGAGGTAAGAGTGCAGCGGCAGGGCAACAAACCATGGAGCAGCTAACTGTGCCCTGGAGGGTCAGGAAAGACCCCAAAGGGGAAGGCTTTAAGCATCACTTGGGTTTCTGCGTTCAGCGAAAGGAGAGAGGGCACTTCCGCCAGAGAGGCGCAGTGACATCCTCCAAGACACAGCGAGGCGACCCCTTCAGCTGAGTAATAACGAGAGGCTCGCAGGGGCAGACACGGGAGAAGCAGGTGGCAGGAGATGCGTACGGCTGGCGACTGAGTGCCTACCACGGGCAACGTGTTCCAAATGGAACCCGTTCGGGCATGGCCATTGTATTTTTTTTCCTCTTCGGAAAGAGTCAGGCATTGACCTAAAGCTGTGTTACTCCTCAGACCATTCTTCAGAACACCTTCATAGGTAAGTGATAAGAGCAGACCTGTATATTCCAGACATCAGCCTGGGTGTGTGCGGTGTACCTAGGACTGGAGAGGGAAACTGGGATCCAAGCACCAGGCAGTGGAACACGTATTTACGAGGGAAATCGGAAGGTCCTGGCTCGCGGTGACCAAGGAGGGCGAGGGGGAGGATGGATTTGAGATACATTTAGGAGAATGTCTTCATGACATTCTTCTCCAACAATGTGAAGCCAAGGCACATCCCTTCTTCCAGAAAATACTTTTGGAAGTAGAAAAGTAGCGAGACATGAAGGGAGAAAAACGGTTTCTAGGATTCCGTCTCCAGAACCCATCCGTTCTCTCCTCTGTGTCCCCCAATGGACATAGCAATCCTTATATAAAAAGAAAAAGGACTTACAGACAGAGTTTTTGTGACTACTGTCCTTGCTGGGCAGCATCTTGACTCCTCTTGACTTCAGCTCAATGGCCTTTTTCACTGAAAGAAACCAAATAAAGCCATTAGTCGGTAAGACTCAAAGAGCTACTAAAATCGTGCTTGCTCCTCCGCATTTCCAGCCAGGGCCGCTTGCCTACCGACCCCGTAGAAAGTGGGGCACATTCTAAGACGTTAATGACGCAAAGTGGATGAAGTAGAAGAGCTCGTGAATAAGTAATGCAAGGCCATCAAACAGCAAGATCATATCTTGCACCAGCAGTGTCAGAGTGAGAAATAATACGTGACACCATTGAGCTTCTCCATCCGAACCTATTCGCCACTAGCAGTGGCAAATCTAGAACTCATGGTGATTTTACCAAGGGCTTGGGGATGGTCGTCTCACCGGAGGTGGACTGACGGTAGAGCCTTCTAAAGTTATTACATTCCTGATAAAGTTCTAGATAAAAATGAAAGTTGTTCCTTTATTTATTGATGTAGCTATTAAATCATGCAAAGTTTAGAAAATATGCATTGATGAGGAGCTAACGTGGGGAAGCATGTTCTGTGGCCAGGATAAAATATCACATAAAATGTTAAGTAAAAGTACACCGATCCTTTCAGACGCTTATTACCCATAGACGACCTTATATATAAAATGTACACACACACACACACATATATATGAGATTGGTTTCTAAAGTCATAGTTCTCAGGCTTAAATTTGAATTCCATACTTCTTCTACATTCTGCATCACACATTTTAAGAAGTTCCACTTTTCTGGCCATTTCTGGAAAAAAAATAAAAAAGGGAAGCATTCATGGGAATAAAATAGAAAATAATGTTTTAATTTAAACATTTATGTTTTAAATATTAAAACTGTGTTACTGTTATTTAAATTAAAATTGTGTTTTAATAGTATTTATATTAAATGCATTTAATATTTAAACAGTTATAATGAGACTGGACCTAGAGTAGCTGAAAGCGTGCAGAAGTGAGTTTGATTCTTCACTAACAACTCAGTAGCTCTGTGTTCTGGATAAGTTCCTGAACTCGAGAGTCTACTAACTTACGTGGAAAGTGGGTGAGGCGGTTAATTTTTTTGTGTCAACTTCAGTGGGTTACCGAGTGTCCAAATATTTGTCAAGCAGTAGACTGGGTGTCTCTGTGAGGGTGTTTTTTGAACGAAATTACCATTTACATCCATGAAGCAAAGCCAACTGCTCTCCCTAAAATGGGTGGGCCATACCTAATCAGCAGAAGGCCTACATAGAAAAAAAAATAAATTGCAGACATTCTCTTGAGTAGAAAAGAATTATTTCTGCCTGACTGCCTTCATATTGGGATATTAGTTTTTGACTGTTTTTGTTTTGTTTTGTTTTTCCTGCCTTAAGATTCAAACCAAAGCATCGGTTCCACCTGGGTCTGGATCTTGCCAGCCTCTGGTCTGGAACCAGGCCATCGGCCCTCGGGGTTCCCGGGTGTTGATCCCACCAGCCTCTGGCCTGGAGCCACGCCATCAGCCACTCTGCAGATCTTGGGACTTCTCAGTCCAGGATGGTAGGAGCCACTTTCTTATAAGAAGTCCTATATGGCTGCTCGGGAGTCTGGGGAGCACCTTAACACAGTGGGCGAGCTGACATCCAGGGCAGGGTGCCCTGGGGGGGGGGGACCCAGCGCCGTCCGGCTCCAGCCGCAGGGGCTGCAGGTGCAGCCAGCATCGCCGGGACCGCGGGACCCTCGGGGGCAGCCTGCCCTGTGACGCCCATGGTGGGGGGGACCCAGCGCCATCGGGCTCCAGCCGCAGGTGCAGCCAGTGCCTCCAGGACCGCGAGACCCTCGGGGGCAGTCTGCCCTACTGGCCACGGTGACACCCATGGGTGGCGGCCGGGGTGGGAGGCCTAGAGTGGGCAGCCAGGGGCTGGTGCCCCACTGACCCACGTAGGCGAGGGCAGGCCAGTCCCCAGGGGCGATTCAGCTCCGGGTGCCCGGCACATCCCACAGCCGCTTAGGGCCGCCAGGAGTCCCCGGACTGCTCCTTCCTCCTCCTTCCAAGGGTGTCGACCCGGCCGACCCGGCCGAGCATCCTGCCCCGATGGTCCAGCCGCCCGCGGAGACCCCTGAGGAGTGCCTCTCCTCCCTGCCCCTCCTCCTCGGCCCTCGGGCCTCCCCGTCTCTGCGGGTGGGAAACCAGGTCCACACCTGCTGTCACCGCAGCACCGTTGGCTGCAGGGACCTCGCCTGTCGCACCCTCCCAAGGGATGTTTGGACTTGATCGGGTGACGCCTTCCCGAGCGTCACCCATCACGACCGCTGCCTCCTCGTGCTGGGAGACCTTTGCCTTGAAGTCGCTCAGGAGAGAAGAGATGCACGAACAATAAATGACGGACAGAACATCAATGGGAGAGAGCAAGGAGCCTAAAACTAGAGCCAGTGTCACCCGAAACAGAGAAGACAGACGGGCTCCGTGCCCTCGGAGGACGCCGGGAAGTAGAGAGGAGCTTTCCAGGTGACGCCGGTGGCACCTGGACCCGCAGCGCCTCTCTGGGAGTCTGGTAGGGTCCGGGCTTCGCGAGCAGGTGGATGTGCTTGTGTGACGCCAAACCCGCCAGGGGCTGTGGTCTGTGTTTTCCGATCAGCCGGCGGGTGTGCTGGAGGCGGCCGCTCCGCAAAGGGGCTTTGGACCGACAGGGCCTCTCAGCCGGGAAGACGTAGGTGCTGAGGGCGAGGGGGGCCAGAGGGCGGGGGGCTCCCCAACAGACGGCCCCCAGGACCCCAGGTGTCCGGGGACGAAGTGTGCAGCCCGCTCGTTGGCAGGTCCCAGAGCAAATGATAAATCCCGTCCTCTGACTCAGGGCCGTGAGGATTCCTGGGGGGACCCCAGGTGAGCAGGTTCCGGACCTCCAGAGCCCACCTGGGCCTCAAGCTCCGTATTTCCGGCATCGCTACCCCAGTGCGCTCCTCCGATTCTCTTTTCTTTTACCTCCTCTTCATTAGTCTGTTCTTTGGAGGGAAGAGGCGGCGGCGTGAATGCTGGTGTCAGGGCCCCCGACTCACTGCCACTCTGGCCTTAGAGGGTTTGTCAGGAATTCAGATCCTGCGGCTCCCGACAGGGCCCTCCAGGCCCCGCTGTGAGGCCCTCGAGGCGGTGCAGGGCCCAGGTCGGGTCTGCGGATCGCGGGAGAAGGGATGGAAAACCAGCAACCGCAGGGGCGTGCTACTGTGCTTCCTCGGCTCACGCCTTCTTTTTGTGTTCACTGCAGCCTCGCGGGGTAGGTGGAACCTCACTTCAGGTGGGTCGGAGATTCGAGGAACCGCCACACACTGAAGCGACGGTGGTTTCTCATGACCGTGTTTAAGGAGACCATGGGATGAGGGATGCACATCACTGTCCCTACCTAATGCAACTGCTGTCTCTGTCCTTTCCAAGGGGACCTCCTTCGCCATGTGTCGGTGACTGGCTCCTAATCACGCTGGGTCCTGGACGCCTCCCAGGTCCCCACCCCCTTCCCTGGCAGGGGGACGACGCGGAGGCCCTCATGCTCCCCACACCTCTGTTGGAAGCCAAGTGACATCTTCTACGACTGATCCGCAGAGCTTCCGGGACCCAAGTCTAAAACAACACTTTGCCTCTAATGGAGAGCTCATGTCACCCCACGCAAGGAGAAGCAATGCCAAATTGTCTCACACAAAATTAATTTACTAAATACAGGACCAGAAACCAGTGAGAAATCTCACAAGCCACCGAAGGAATTGTTTCCTGCATACACACCAACGACCGACACATCTGAAGAACTAAAAAAAAATATATAAACATTGTTTATTGCACATATATTGCACATATTATGACTCAGGGGATTGTCATAATTTTGTTAATTTTATTAATTGAATATAAATGTATATATAATATATGTGAGTGTGTGAAACACTTCAGTATATAACATATATACAAATGAAACTATCTGAATTTTCTTATTATCAGAAATATCCGTTCACCTTGCAATGTTTTAATTGATGGCTTTTTATTAAATTTGATGAATAAGCAATTACATCCCATAAGCTACTAGTCTTCTGTGTCTATGTTGTCTTTTTATATCGTCCCCTTAGTGAATATGATTTATTTCAAATTTTGTTTTTTATATCAATTCGTTCTTGAATTGGTAGAAACACCATTCTTCCGAAAAATTGTTTTTGGCTCACGAGTTGTTTGGAACACTTTCTGTTTTATTCTACTTTTGGGGTAAAAACTAAACTTGGAGTTTTGTCAATATTTTTGAAGAAAAAATAAATATTTTGAAAGTAATTTATCTTGAGGAATTCCAGTAGTTTGAGTGTTTTTGTTATAAATCTCATTTTCTCCCAAAGAACATTTATACCCTAATTTTTCCTTAGAAATGCTTTCAAAATATTCAATTGCTTCATTAATGGATCTAATCACCTAGCACCCCCAGAACTGTTTACCATTTCTTCATTAGATTTCATTGTTGTTTATAACGAGTGCTCAAAATTCAAATCACTTTAAACACAGCTCGCAAATTTTTTGACCTACAAAGCAACATGCCTCCATAGTCAAACTATAGATATAGTCAATATCTAAGTATTGACTCGATTTCCTACTGTTGGTTAATTATTGCCACACGGTCCACGTGGACCCGATGGACCCCCCGGAGCAGGTGCTCTAAGTATGGCCCTTGTCCCGGAGTCGTCTGTCCCTCTACAACCAAATCTCCCGGTGGAGCTCAGCTCCCGAAAACACGGTGCGGTCATTTCCCCTCCTCTTGCGTAATCTTGTTTTCTTTGCTGCTTGATCAATCACATTGTCCCACAATCCCGCTGTTTCACTTTGCTTCCCGTCCTTATGAGCCAAACCAAAGGAAGGAGCAGCAAGAAAAGAGCGCGCGAAGACACTGAGCCTCCGGCCCCCCGGGCCGCACTCCCTGCCCTGCAGCGGCCACTGTCCCCCGCTGTCTTTCCCGCGGAGCAGGGAGAGAGGAGCCCTCCAGGGAACCATTATATAGACCCAGTAGCCCCCCCCCCCCCCAGGAATAGCTCCAAGACCCAG